ACCTTGTGCCACCAGGACCTTTTACTGCCCCTGACTAGTAACACAAAATTGGACCCAAGGAGGCCTGATTTGGGCTATTTTCAACCACTGGTCTATGTAGGAAAATTGGTCCAGATGGCTATAGTCTCTAGTGACTATTCTATATACGACCGGGGCTGTGGGGATATCAAGGGTGCCTTCAGAGGGGCATCCTACACCAAAGGTGAGCCATTCTAATTCACAAAAAGTGTGCAATTTTCCAGGGGTCAATTTGATTCCATAATATCCTGAGAACCCCTTGTTAAAATTATTTATAATATATTCCAGAACAGTGGGTTTAGAGCAGTGGTTCTCAACCTGTGGCTCACGACCCCTTTGGGGGTCAAATGACCCTTTCACAGGGGTCACCTAAGACATAACAGTAGCAAAATTATAGTTACAAGGTAGCAACAAAAATAATTTTATGGTTGGGGGTCACCGCAACATGAGAAACTATATTAAAGGGTCACGGCATTAGGAAAGTTGGGAACCACTGGTTAGAGAAACTTACCTCCATAATAATATTTAAGATGGTTAAGCAAACATCCCAGTGAATAGTGTCACAAGACAAACAGGAGGAAACTCTTCTTTCATCTGCCTGGCCACTCCCTTTGCAGGGACTTAGGTGCCTCTTGGCATTGGCAGGTCAGTATAAGCCCCTGACTTGGATCAGGTTTGCTGGTGGAGAAAATGTCCCCAAGAATCTGACACTGCCCTTATCCATATGAAGTCACCATGGACTCACAGGTTGGGACTCATGCAGACTCCATAAAAGGCATTGTGGAGCATGGTTACTCACATACACAATCACACAGAACTTAAACTTTCACCTAGGAATTCCCTATTCTGTGTAGCATTTGTGCCACCTGGGAGGTAATCAAGCTCCCCTTCCACCTTAGAGGAGGCCCTGAACTTAGTCCTTAGTCCCCAGGGACACTTAACTGATCTAATGTTTTGGCAGGCTTTTCTAACCTCCCCAAAGTCCATTTGAGTGCAGTGGTGGCTGACTACAGTCTGGCCTGGTGAAGGTCAGGGTCCAGTGAAATCACTGGTGTCAAGACTTTCTTTCTGTCATGGAGGCCCAAAATTAGTGGTTCCTTCCTGCTGGCTTCTGACAATGGTGGCTCAAGAGGCCAGTGTGGCTGTTGGCTTCCTGGCCAATGCACCAAAATGTTGTGGCAGAAATTTGGTTGGCAGGAAGAGACAGACTGCACATACTCAGAGAATTAGAAAAATGACTGTTTAATGTACACCAGTACCGGCCCAGTGGAGTCATCTCCAAAAGCTGAGCCCCACGCTTGGGTTCCAACTGCCTCTTATACATGATAAGCTTCTGAGTATTTGGGGGCTTTCTAGTTTTGCTGTAGTTTAGGCGGTTGGCTGATGTAAGGGGCAAGCAGGATTACAAAAGCCAGGGGCTGGGTCTCTGCACTGTGAACTAAGGTGGTTGTCTGCACCTGGCTTGACTTCTCAGTATTAACTTTGAAGTATTAATATGAGAAAGAAAACATGTTAACATTAACTGTTACAATTTTTGCATGCCCCAAATTGGAAACAAAATATCCGCAAGCAGATGAATAGTGGTATATCAATGTAATATGCTTTTGAACAATATAAAAATTTTCTGATATTTCATGATTTTGAGCCTAGGTAGTATAAAAGAAATAACAGGGAATGGTGAGCATGTTAAACAGTATGAAAGAAATCAACAAGCCAAATCTAGATTGTGAAAATTCTAATAGACAAAGGCTTAGTATTTCATCAAAGAAATAATAAGAATTAAAAAGTTACAATGGTACATATAGGCTACAAGACTTCCAAGATACACCTAATAACTGACTCAGGATAAATTTTGCATCTAGATATCAATCTACATTGATAATGAATACAACTGACAAAATCTAGCACTTTCAACAATTTATCATAATTTTAAATATTTGGATTCTATGTTTCAAAGTTATTAGAGTTATGTAAGAGATTTTAAATTCTATTTATTTATTTTGGGGGTTACCAAATAACTTTATTTGAAGGAATGGCACAAATGAAAAGTTATAAGTGGATGATTTGGTACCAGTTATAGAAAAGGTAAAGGTAACTCCAATATACTGCTTTGGTGAACAGGAAAGTCATCCCTTTGGCTATGGGAAACCAGCCTAAGGCTTAGCTCCCATCACTGTCTCCCAGGGTGTTCTTGTCAAAGAGATATTCTGTTTTTTTGTTTTTTTGTTTGTGTGTGTGTGTGTGTGTGTGTGTGTGTGTGTGTGTGTGAGAGTCAAGATGGCAGCAGGCAGGACCAGAGCGAGGGTGAGTGGGTAAGAGTGTGAGTGTGAGAGTATGAGTGGATGTGAGTGTGGACGAGCAACCTCAAGCAGAGTAGAAACTCGGGGCAGAGGGTTCCTGTGATGTGGATGGGGAGCAGCTGGCTACCACAGTAAGCAGCTTGTCAGCACCCTGCACGGCCAGAAGGCCTTGTCATTTTGGAAGATCCCTGGTCTTCTCTAGGAGGAGGCAGTGGGGAGCCGCTAGGGCCAAGCAACCTGAGTCCACCAATGCACCTTGTACTATTGGACCAGTGACCCTGCTGTGTCAACACAGACCAGTGCACAGTAGTGGCACTGTCGAGGTGCCTGCTGCAGTAGCCACAAACAGCCAGGAGCTGAGTACCATCCCCCATGGCAGCAGCCTGATTGGAGCCAAGCACCATCCTCCACAACAACAGACTGATTGGAGCCAAGCACCATCCCCCACAGCAGCAGCCTAATTAGAGCTGAGCAACACCTCCAGCAAAAGAAGCACCATCTTGGGACCCCAGCACATTCCTCCACAGCAGTAGTGACTGGGCAAGAGTAAAGCCCAACCCCAACTCAGAAGCCGAGACACACTCCCAGCAGCAGAGGCTTGGGAGTGGAATCCATCCCCAGGCAGCAGCAGCACAGATTGGCAGCTGAGATCTATCCCCAACAGCATTACCAGAAGCTGATCAGGAGTAGTGCCCCAGTCCAAGCAACAGCAAGGCTCAGGCAACTGAGACCAGCCTCTGACAACTGCAGCAGAAGATTTGAAGTGGAGACACTCCCCTAGCAGAAGCAAAGTCCTGGGAGATGAGCATCCTCAGCCTCCAACAACAGCAGAGGATGGGAAGCTGAGAGAACCCCCTGGCAAGAGCAGCAGTAACAGTGAAAACTTGGAGCTGCCCCCAGCAGCATCAGTAGTGACTAATCAGGAGCTGAGGCCCACCAGAGAGTAGCACACCCCAACAGTGCCTTAACAGAACCCACAAACCCCAGCAGTGCCCCAGCAAAACTCAGGCACCTCAGCAGTGCACCAGCAAAACCCACGCGCATTATCAGCACTCCAGTGGGACCAATGCACCCTAGCAATTCACCAGTGGGACTCAAGCATGCCAATAAAGCACCAGCAAGATTCATGCACCCCAGCAGCACACCAGCTGGACCCACAGACCTCAGAAACACTGACTACGACAGACCAATACAAGTCACCAATTGTCAATACTCCAGGACCCACAGCAGGAAAGAGGCACCACACACCAAAACAGTCTGGAAGGAAGAGCAGTCTTATTTGATACACACCAACCTGCCTACACATTCCAACATCCTTAACTGGGCCTAGAACTAACACACTGCTAAAATGGTGAGACAAAGAAACAACACCCAAATAAAAGAAAAGGAGAAAGCACCAGAAAATGAACTACAGGAAATGGAATCAAGCAATTTGTCAGATAAAGAATCAAAGCAATGATTTTAAGGGTACTCAAACAATTTAGTGAGAACTACAAGCAACTCAAGAAGAACTATAAAGAGCTCATTGAGCCCTGGCTGGTTTGGCTCAGCAGTTAGAGCATTGGCCTGCGATCTGGGAGATCCGGGTTCAGTTCCCGCTAAGGGCACGTACCTCGGTTGCAGTTTGTCCCCGGCCCTGGTTGGGTCATGTGGGTGGCAGCCACTCGATGTATCCCTTTCACATCGATGTTTCTCTCTCTCTCTCCCTCTCACTTTATCTGAACAAAAAAAATAATAAATGAAAAAATGTCCTTGGGTGAGGATAAAAAAAAAAAAAAAAAAAAAAAGAGCTCATTGGGAACTACATCAACTGAAAAAAAGAGGTAGAAGCTATGAGTAAAAATCAAGAGAAAATAAAAAATGACGTAGCTGTTATGAAAAATACCTTAAAAGTGTTCAATAGTAGAGTAGAAGAAGCTGAAGACCAAATCAACGACTTGGAAGACAAGATTGAAAAAAACATCCAAGGAGAGCAACACATAGGTCAAAAAAATTAAAAAGCAAGAGGAGAGTTTAAGGGAGCTTTGGGACAACACAAAGAGTAACAATATTCGCATCATAGGGGTACCATAAGGAGATGAAATGGAGAAAGGAATAGAAAACCTGCTTAAACAAATAATGACAGAAAATTTTCCTAAACCAGTGATGGAAAAAGTCACACAAGTCCAGGAAACAAGGAGAGTCCCAAGCAAGATGGACCTCAAATAAACCACAACAAAACACCTCATAATTAAAATGGCAAACATTAAAGAAAGAAAGAACCTTAATGGAAGCAAGAGAGAGACAGAACAAGGGAGCTCCCATTAGACTGTCAGCTGATTTCTCAATAGAAACAGTGCAGGCCAGAAGAGAGTGGTATGAAGTATACAAAGTAATGAAAGCAAGGGTCTAAAACAAAAACTACTCTATCAAGCAAGGATATCATTCAGAATTCAAGGTGAAATAATAAGCTTCAAAGACAAACAAAAATAAAAATAAAGAAATTTGCCACCACCAAACCAGCACTGCAAGAAATGCTGAAGGGTGTGTTGTAAGAAGAAGAAATATAGAGAGAGGAATACAGGCACAAAATAAAAATGGCAGAGCCAGGGGCTGGGCGGGGACCCGTCTTGTGGGTGAGGCGGCAGCGGCAGAGGTGGCGGCTTGGCAGGCGGGTTCAGGTTTCTGGGGCCAGCCACTGCCATGATCCAGCTGGAGGTAAACAACTGCATCATCGAGGAGACTCTCGCACTCAAGTTCGCGAATGCGGCCGCTGGAAACAATCCAGAAGCAGTAGAAGTAACATTCGCAGATTTTGATGGGGTCCTCTATCATATTTCAAATCCAAATGGAGACAAAACAAAAGTGATGGTCAGTATTTCTTTGAAATTCTACAAGGAACTTCAGGCACATGGTGCTGATGAGTTACTAAAGAGAGTGTATGGGAGTTTCTTGGTAAACCCAGAATCAGGATACAATGTCTCTTTGCTATATGACCTTGAAAATTTGCCTGCACCCAAGGATTTCATTGTACATCAGGCTGGCATGTTGAAACAAAATTGTTTTGCCTCTGTCTTTGAGAAATACTTCCAGTTCCAAGAAGAGGGCAAGGAAGGAGAGAACAGAGCAGTTATCCATTATGGGATGATGAGACCATGTATATTGAGTCTAAAAAGGACAGAGTCATAGTAGTTTTCAGCACAGTGTTTAAGGATGACGACGATATGGTCACTGGAAAGGTGTTCATGCAAGAGTTCAAAGAAGGACACAGAGCCAGCCCCACAGCCCCACAGGTCCTCTTTAGCCACAGGGAACCTCCTCGGGAGCTGAAAGACACCAATACTGCTGTGGGTGACAACATTGACTATATTACCTTATTGCTGTTCCCTCATCACACCAATGCCAGTGCTTGCGACAACACCGTCAACCTGATCCACACGTTCCGTGACTACCTGCACTACCACATCAAGTGCTCTAAGGCCTATATTTACACACGTATGCGGGCAAAAACATCAGACTTCCTCAAGGTGCTGAACTGGGCTCGCCCAGATGCAGAGAAGAAAGAAATGAAAACAATTACAGGGAAGCTGTTTTCATCACACTAACTCTTGGGAACAAAGAAAAAGCCGCTGGCAACTGTAGGCTGGAACACTTGCTACTGGATAATTGTAGCTTTTAGTGTTGCACCCTTTCAGGTTCTCAAGGGATTCTCCATTTTGGTTCCATTTTGTACACCTTTGGAAAATAATTTGCAGAAATAAGCTGTGCTTACAAGGACTTCATAGTTCCCAACAATTGAAAAAAAAAAAAAAAAGAAATCCTCTTGATTGACTTAATTCCTTTTCTTTATCTTCCTGCCCTCACTCCCCTTCCCTTCCAACCCCCCTTCCAAGCTGTTTTGCTTTGCAATATGTAACTAGTAATGAGTTGTAGGATAATGCAATCTTAACTTGTTTTCTCCTGAGTATTTGAGTTCAAACCTCCTGTATCTAAAGAAATATGGTTGGGGTCATTAATAAAGAAAATCTTTCTATCTTAAAAATAAATAAATAAAAATAAATAAAAATGGCAACTAATAAGTATCTATCAATAATATCCTTAAATGTGAATAGCTTAAATGCTCCAATAAAAAGTTATCTGGTAGCTGATTGGATAAGAAAACATGACCCATATATTTACTGTTCACAAGAGACCCACGTAACAATGAAAGACTCACACAGGATGAAAGTGAAGGAATGGAAAAAATTTTTCTAAGCAAATGGAAATGGAAAAAAGGTGGTGTAGCAATACTCATATCTGATAAGATAGACTTCAAAACAAGGGCCATAATTGGAGACAAAGAAGGTCACTACATAATATTAAAAGGATCAATGCAACAAGAGGATATAATCCTAGTAAACATATATGCACCAAATACAGAAGCACCAAAATATATTTAAAAACTCCTGGAGGACTTCAAGGGAAAAATCAGTAGCAATACAATTATAGTGGGTGACTTCAACACTCCACTGACACCACTGGATAGATGTTCTAGACAAAAAAATTAACAAAGACACAGGGTCCTTAAATGATGAACTAGATCAGATAGACTTAATTGATGTTTACAAAACATTTCATCCCATAGTGGCAGAATATACATTCTTCTCAAGTGTACACAGGACATTCTCAAAGATAGACCACATGTTAAGACACAAACTAAGTCTCTACAAATTCAAGAAGATTGAAATCATATCAAGAATCCTCTCAGATCACAATGGTATAAAACTAGAACTCAATTGCAACAAAACACCAAAAATCATTCATACACATGTACACTAAGTAACATGTTATTTAACAATGAATGTGTTACCAAGGAGATAAAGGAAGAAATTTAAAACTTCCTTTAAAACTTCCTGGAAACAAATAAAATGATCATACCACAACACAAAATCTATGGGACGCAGGAAGAGCAGTCCTGGGAAGGAAGTTCATGGCACTACAAGCCTACCTCAATAAACAAGAAAAATTCCTAATTGACTTCCTAACTCTACAACTTAAAGGACTAGAAAGTAAACAAAAAGAAAAACACAGAGAAACTAGAAGGAAAGAAATAGTATAGGTCAGAGCAGAAATAAATGACACAGAAACTAAAAAAAATCCAAAAGATCAATGAAACAAAGAGCTGGTTCTTTGAAAAGGTAAACAAGATTGATGGTCCCTTAACTAGACTCACCAAGAAACAAAGAGAGAAGGCTCAAATAAACAAAATCAGAAATAAAACAGAAGAAGTAATAACTCACACCACAGAAATAAAAAGGATCATTAAAACACACTACAAACAATTATACATAAACAAACTGGACAATTTAGGCAACATAGACAAATTTCTAGAAACACACAGTTTCCAAAATCTAAACTGAGAAGAGATGGAAAATTTGAACATGTCAATAACAACTAAGAAAATTGAAAATATAATCAAGAACATCCCAGCAAACAAAAACCCAGGCCCAGACGACTTCACCAGGGACTTTTACTGAACATTAAAAGAAGATCTAATACCCATGGTCCTCAAATTATTCCAAAAAATCCAAGAAGACAAAAGATTTCAAACTGATTTTATGAAGCCAGAATAACACTAATTCCAAAATTGAATAAAGACACTACAAAGAAAGAAAATTACAGGCTAATATCCCTGACAAAAATAGATGACAAAATCCTTAACAAGATATTACAAAATCAGATCCAGCAATACATTTAAAAAATCTTCACCATGGCCAAGTGGGATTCCTCCCAGGGGTGCAGGGCTGGTACAATATTCAAAAATCAATAAATATGATACACCACATAAACAAAAGGAAAGATAAAAACCATATGGTCTTATCAAGAGATGCTGAAAAAAATTCAATAAAATCAGCTCCCATTTATGATAAAAATTCTCAGCAATGTTGGAATAGAAGGATGATATCTCGATATAATAAAGGCCATATATGAAAAATTTACAGCCAGCATCATATTCAATGGGCCAAACCTAAAATTATTTTTCTTAATAACAAGAACAAGACAGGGATGCCCACTTTTGCCACACTTATTTAACATAGTACTGGAAGTCTTAGCCACAGCAACTAGTCATGAAAAAAAATAAAAGGGATCCAGATTGAAAAGGAGAAAGTAAGACTGTCATTATTTGCAGAAGATATGATATTGTACATAAAAAACCCTACAGACTCCATCAAAAATTTACTAGATTTAATAAATGAATTTGGCAAAGTAGCAGGATACAAAATTAATGTCAAGAAATCGATGACATTCTTATACACCAATGATATACTCACAAGAAGAGAAACTATAAAAACAATCCCATTTACAATTATGGCAAAAAAAATTAAGATAACTAGGAATAAACTTAACCGAAGATATAAAGAACCTATTTGCAGAAAACTACAGGATATTGAAAAAAGGAATAGAGAGAGATATAACAAAGTGGAAACACATACCTTGTTCATGGATTGGAAAAATTAACATAATTAAAATGTACATACTCCCCAAAGCAATCTATAGATTCAATACAATCTCCACCAAAATACCAATGACATATTTCACAGAACTAGAACAAAATACTCCAAAAGTTTATATGGAACCAAAAAAGACCACAAATTGCCAGAGCAATCTTGAAAAGAAAGAACAAAATAGAAGGAATCACAATACTGGCTATCAGGTTATATTACAAAGCCATTGTAATCAAAACAGCCTGGTAATGACACAAGAACAGGCATGAAAATCATGGAACTGAACACAGAGAACAGAAGTTGACCCAAGACATTATGCTTAATTAATATTTGATGAAGGTAGTAAGAGCACACAGTGGAGTAAAGCACCCTCTTCAATAAATGGTATAGGATAAATTGGACAACTACATGCAAAAAATGGAAGCTAAACCACCAATTTACACCATACACAAGAATAACCTCAAAATGGATAAAGGAATTAAATGTGACTTGTGAATCCATAAAAATCCTAGAAGAAAATGTAAGCAACATAATTTCAAACATCACATGCAGCAGAACTTTCACTGATACAATGCCTAAGGCAAGAGAAACAAAGGAAAAAAATGAACACATGAAACTAAAAAGCTTCTGCACAGCAAAATAAATAGTCATGAAAATGAAAAGAGAACCCAGTATATGGGAGAGCATAATTGACAATAATACATTATATGAGGGGTTAATTTTCAAAAGTGTTGTGTGCTCATACAACTCAACAAAAGGAAGACAAAAAAAGCAATTAAAAAATGGTCAGAGGACCTAAACAAACACCTCTCCAAACAAGACATACAAATAGCTTAGAGACATATGAAAAAATACTCAATGTCACTAATCATCAGAGAAATGCAAATTAAAACAGCTATGAGGTATCACCTCAGAACTGCCAGAATGGCTGCCATCAACAAATCATCAAACAAGTGTTGGCAAGGGTGTGGAGAAAAGGGGACTCTAGTACACTGCTGGTGGAAATGCAGACAGGTGCAGCCACTGTGGAAAACACTATGGTGTTACCTCACAAAATTTAGACTTGAACTGCCATTTGATCCAGTGATCTCACCTCTAGGAATATACCCTAAGAAGCCTGAAACATCAATCAGAAAGAATCTATATACCCCTAAATTCATAGAAGCACTATTTATAATTGCTAAGATCTGAAAACAGCCCAAGTGTCCATCAATAGATGAGTGGGGAAAAAAAGCTGTGTTACATATACACAATGGAGCACTATGCAGCTGTAAGAAAGAAAGATCTCTTATCCTTTGGTACAACATGGTTAGACCTGGAGAGTGTTCTCCTAAGCAAAAAAAGCCAATCAGAGAAGGACAAATATCACATGATCTCAGTTATTTGTGAAATATAATAAACAAAAGAAGCTGATGAACAAAATAGATCCAGAGACACAGAAGTAGGTACAGACTGACAAACATCAGAAGAGGGGATGGGGCGGGGCGGGGAGAAGTAAACCACAGAATTTATATGCATGTGTGCATAACCATGGACATAGACAACAATACTGATGGTGGGGGGTGGGGGGATTGGGAGAAGGGTGTCAATGAGGGGAAAAGGAAAATCATCTGTAACAAAAATAAATTAATAAAAAAATTTTAAAAAGAGAGATACTCTGTCATGTCTGTTTCAGGAGCCCACAACCTGCACAAGGTAATTACATGGTTACCCAATTCTTTGATGGATTTTACTTTCTCATTCAAGTAGTGAGTCTCAATGCCTTGATGACTGTGAGAGTGGGCTGAATGCAATGGAGTGTGCATTACACTTGCAACAAAGTGTGAATCAGTCACTAACTGCATGGGGGTAGAAGAAACAAGAATGGTATAAAATGATAATGACAGAATAATGGCTTAATAGTGTTTTCCATTTTTAGATACATTTGAAAATAGCCATTATAAAGGGTAGAATAGGTCATGTTATTATTAAATTCATACGGTTTGAAGGATAAATTTAAAAGGGCAGGAAGAAACTTAAAAAAAATATATAAGTAGGCATTTCAGCCAGTGTGGCTTAGTGAATTGTGCATCATCCCATGGACCGAGAGGTCCTGGTTTGATTCCTAGTCAGGGCACTTG